GTGGAATACATGAATTAAATACTGAGCTCATGATAAAGACACAACGACCTGTCCAAATATAGAGAACCCCTGTAGCAAAAGCTTGTTAGGAGTTAGCTTTAACCCTGTAATCTTAACATGAGCCTTTAGATGAAGATATGTTCTAAAACCCTATGGTTTACACCATGAAACTCATATTGAACTTTGGAATATGCATATATATATATAAATATCGATATATGTATGAGGTGTATATCTATCTATCTATCTATCTATCTATATAGAATAACAAACATGCTAGTAACGCAGGCCCATTACAAACTGCACACTACAAACAATTTCCATTAGATGCTTAACCGGAATATCACATTCCTCTTTGATTCGTGAAGCAAACCCTCTCATTTCCAGACCTCACCCATTCTTCATACAAGTCCCGTTGCTCCTATCAGATTCCAAATAGTAACCCTGTCACTGGCATTAGATTCCATCGGAACGAGTCGTGAACTGCTTGGGAAACAGCCGCATGCGCTAGTACTCCATCACGAGCGTGATTGGGTGGCCGAATCTTTCAGTTTCGGGGCTCGGAGCGGGTCACGCATCTCAATGTGCTTTCCGAAGCCAGACGCGTTTTCCAGGCGGGTAGGGGCAGGGTCATGCAGTTCAATGCCCTTGCCGGAGCTAGACAACACCAACATCGAGGTTTTCCAGGCCGGATTTGCATGCCTTTAGGGGGAGCATTACGAGCATGATTGGATGGCTGTATTTCTTTCTCTCGAGGCTCGGAGCGACACAGTGCGCGTGCCAGAGCTAGATGCCCGCGATATCGAATTTTTCCAGGCCGCATTTGCATGCATGCATTGGGGGTGCCTTAGGGGGGCCTGGGCCAGCAGCATGAGCATCATTGGGCGGCTATTGTTCTTTTCCTCGGGGCGCTGAGCGGGTCATGCCTCTCATTGCGCTTGCCGCGTGCTTTCGCTTTCTGTGTGGTGAGCTGGTTTGTATGTGGTACTTGGCAGGATCGCGCAATCAATCCCAATCTGGCAATCCTGGAGTCCTAGAGGTCTTAGACCGCTCGGCATGCTCCAGGTACACGTGCCCCATGCTGCCCAAACATATCAGCCAAGGAGCAAACTATGCTGAAAGTTCTGCAAACAAAGAACACGAGAACGTACCTGAGTGACTGAAGAGAAGAATTCAGAATTGATGTTGGACGTACGGGGTCCCCCCCCGAAAAATTACCGTTCCTCTTTAATATTTTGGCCCCCCCTGAATTTGCCCGTGCAATTACAATCATATGGGCCCCTAGAATCTATCTAAGTAATCTAATAAACCTTCAGGAAGCTCAGGTTGTGCCTCAGGCACAGACAGAGCAGGAACGCTTCTCTAAGAGAAAAAGCTGACTCAGACAGAGCCTGCAAGCTGTTTCTGCTGAGCTTTTCTCAGGTAAAACTAAACTAACTTAGCCAATAACTTTGTCATTTTTATTTTGGGCCCCAGAGAATTTCATTATTCCGTACCACTCAAACAATACCAGATCCTGAATAATTACCCCGAAGCATTTCATTATTGCGGCCCCCATGCTAAAGAGGGTCCAACATTACCAGATAAACTGGACTGGCAGTTGTAACATAGCATCTTGTGCAGATGTACCCCGCCAGCATGCGCCAGACGGGCCTGACCCCAAAGTGCCTTCACTGTTTGTTACTTTTTTGCGATGCCTACGGCTGCATCTCGGCGTGTGCGCTGAAAACAGCGGTTAGGGGTGCGTTTTTTCAGACTTTGTGGCTGCTGGCAGGTTGATCGCTTGTCCGGCTATGGCTCGCTCTACCGCAAGAAAGAGTCATAGTCTCATAGTTTATGCCGCCCAGGCAACCCTTAATGAAATAGTTCTGGGAGCATCCAGAGCTCCAATGTGCCAATCAGCCATCCGCGTGTGGTGAGGATTGAAAGTGGCGTGATGCAGGGAAGGGCAGGGAAGGGCCGCCGGTGGCAATCGCGGTGCGTCGTTTGCATTCTTTGCGCAGCGTGTGGAGCCAGGCAAGAAGAAGCACAGCGAGGAGGCGATCTGAGGGCCTCTTTCGGCAGTGTGCTAACGGTTTCCAAACGGGCCGTGACTGGGCCCGAGTTCCGAGCTTCAGCTCCCTGCTTCCCTTTTCTTTGGGAAGCACGTTCCTTTTTGGGCGTTCCCAGTGTCGGCAGGGACAGATCATTTGGGCTTAAGTGGGGCAAGCCATTTGGAAACTCTGTCTCAGCTGGCAGACTCTGACCCTGCAAACATCCCGCCTGCATTTGTAGCAATACAGCTGCAGGACCAACAGAGTTTCAGAGTGTGCAGAGGTGCCTGAGAAAAGGCTTGCGCCAGCGCGGAGATGGGAGGTCCCGTGCAAGTGCTAAGCCAGGTTTGCTTGAGAGCTCAGGTGGCTGACTGCACATCCTTGGCTAGTTGCAAGGCCAAGATGAGGATTCTGCTTGGTCGATGGACCAATGAATACACTCATAGACTGGCGTGGTACTGGTAGATACCACCTTAGCATTCAAATAGGCTTCCTGAGGTCCGCATTGAGCACGAGTGCAGACTTGGCCTGCTTTGTTTGCGTCAGAAATCTTCCTCTGCTGTTCAGAGCTGCCCAAGCTGCCTCTCGGGGCGAACCGTCAGTGCCATGCCGGTGGCCTGTGGCCCAACCAGGACCTGAGATGTTAGGTCCCAAGCACAGCAGATCCTAAGGCAGAAGATGGGGCGTCTCGAACCCAGAGCCCGGGCACCCGGCCTCGGGAGTTGCTCTTGTGTGACCGCTGCATTCACATGACAACGATTGACAACGGTCAAGAGGTCCGTGTAGTGGAAATCAGAAAATCAAAGGCCTGAAGAATAGGAAAAATATGGGGGAACACATGGGAACGTTTAGCTTCCAAAAATTAGGAAACAGGCAATTGGCCATCGCAGAAAATGGGAAATGCAGGGGAACAAATAGGGGGAAAAAGGGGAAACGGGCAAAAACATGCAAAACATAAGAAACACAGGACCACCAACAAGACTCCAACACAAAACAGGAAACACTTAGGAAAACGTGAAAAATGATAGGACATTAGCGAGAATGAGGAAACCTGTCATTTTCCTTGGAATAGGAAAAATCAGGAAATAAATAAGGAAAAATAAGACAAACTTAGGAAGAATAGGCAAATGATATAATGTTAGTGAAAACGAGGAAAGTCGTTAATTTTCATGATTTTTTGCTACTTTCATATTCCGCACATTCTTGTGGGGTTTTAGTTGTTAGTCGTCTCCCACCAGCCCTCTGCTTCTTCCGGCGCGAAACATATTTCGAAGGCGCCCTATTTTTTTTTCAAATCGCCTTTAAAGTAATCTTCCGGAGGCTCCGAAAATCGTTGATTTTGAAGATATCTAACCTCGAATCGCCTTTAAACTCCTATTCCAGACTTATCCTGCAAGATTTCGGTCGGGCCCCGAATTTTCTCAAAACCGAAAGTCCTTGATATCTAACCTCGAATCGCCTCTAAACTCCTCTTCCAGACCTATCCAGCAACAGTTCGACTGCACCCCGAACTTTCTCAAAAAATGCCTTTACAGTAGTCTTCCAGAGGCGCGAACAATCGTTGATGTTGATTTAAAGCAAAAGATTCTCGAATCGCCTGTAAAGTAGTCTTCCGGACCGCCCAGAATCATTTCTTATTATTTGAGGCCTGACGGCAAGGGCCGGCCCTGCCGACTTCGTACGTTGATGGTTTTTATTGGGCTTTTGACCCTCCTGGTGCCAATTAAGCCAAAATGGGTTCCCAATTGTGCTGATGATGCTTCTGTATCAGTTGTACAGAAGAATCATCACCAGAATTGGGACCTCACTTTGGGCCGTTTTCAGGAAAACTAGAGTCTCTCAATCAGGAGCATGTGCATGGGCTTGGCTTTCACATGATGGCTGGGTGGGCAGGGAGGGGGGGGGGGCTGCGAAAACCGACAAACCCCATAAAACCAGTATAAACCCCGAAGAAAACCTTCACAAAACCACCGTAAGTCCTGCAACCCATCACCCGATCCATCAATACCATGGCAACCCCACATCCAACATTCAGGAACCCAATGATGCTGATGATTCTGGCCAGGGGTGCCAGCATCATTAGCGTCATTGAGGGTCTCTCGGGCCCAGAACCTGGCTTTGGGCCACATGTGGTGACTTTTCGTGTTTTGGGAAGTGTTGCTCGGCATGCGCATAAAAAAAAAGAGACTTTTTTACGGATCAAAAAGAACTGTTGTTTTTCGGACCAAAAAAAGCTTTCCTACTGAATAATGAGCAGAACGGGCCAGAGTGTGGAGAGAAAAGAAGAAAACGAGCAGCTTCAAAAAAAAAAATACCGGATCAAAAAAAACGTTCTGTGCAGGTGTGGACATAGAGAGCAGGGGCAAGAAAGGAAGGAAGCAAGGAAGGAAGGAAGCAAGGAAGCAAGGAAGGAAGGAAGGAAGGAACAAGGAAGGGAAGGAAGGAGGGAAGGAAGGA